CCCTTGAGGGGTATTTATATGTTCCAATGGAGAACCCGTGTTGGCCTGCCAAGCGAGATGTTCGGGATCGGGAAATTAAGCCAAGCAAGATATTCAGGATCTGATGTGTATTTCCAGACAGTTATTTCGGGACTAGAAATTTGAGACATATTCAGGTGTGGGCGTACGCACCATAACTATTATACAGCCTGTCATAAAAAATCAGGTGCGTGCCTGTTCACGATAACTATTATGCAGCTGGGTTTACTTTTCACTTCGATTGTTTAGTACGTCCGAGGTGGGCACCTCGGACCTATCCTTACAGCATCCAAGATACAGGCCGTGCTTTATAGTTGAGAGAGAGGAGTAAGAGCCGTTCTCCCCTAACCCTAGAGGCTGAAGTTAGACATGACATGACACGGTTGTCGCGATTGACTGGTAGCTGAGGATGTTCATAGGGTAGTCATTGCAGTAATGTTACCCTATGTGTAGCTCTATTCGAGCCTTGATGGCGGTTGCGTATATTATTTAAATCAAAATTATCAATATGATATTGTTATATGTATCAATTTTATTATTAAAATAATACATATTAAATATTAAAATTTTTTATGTATTGTTTTTAATTTATTATTATAAATATATATTTTTATAAATTAAAAATAAATTAAAAATAATTAATTTTATAAAATATTTATAATTTTTTAATATTAAATATATATTTAAACAAATTTAATTAAATAATTGATAAAAAAATTAAAAAATATATTTTTCATAATTAATAAACTAAAAAAATATATAAAAAAAAAAAATAAAAATTATATAAAACTTTAAAATTAAGTATAAAAATAAAATTTATTCTTAAAAATAAAATTTATTCTTTTAAATTGAAGTTATTTTTGCATCGGTACATTTTTTAAATTTGAATTGACTTTGCACTAATACATTTTCTAATTGAGCAATATTAGCGGTACTTGCCAATTGCACTCTCCAACCAACACGTCCATTTTCATTTTTTTTTAACAATTTGTAATTATTTATAAGATTAATTGAAGAAGAGGGAGAAAGAAATTTTGTGGGGTTCGAATATCTCACCTACTAAAAATAAACAGTCCTAACCCAAAAGTCAATGCCATTTGCCAGAGTGGGCCGTTCAACACGTCCATTTTCATTATTTTGGTTGAAAGAGGTGGATTTCATAGCCTTCAAGCAAACTTGTGTAATCCAATAAAAAGGCATGTGCTGGTTGGAGAGTGTGGGAGGCAAGTGCCCCGTAGCATTGCTCTTTCTAGTTTGAATTGATTTCTTCTATTGGTACATTTTTTGTGTATCGTCAATACTTTGAAATATCGATTGGTATATTGAAATTTGATCAAAATGGATGAAATTTGATCGAAACAGAATTAAATCTTGGATCGTTTTGGACTAATATAAAAATTGATATGTACCAATTGTACCGACTGATATAAAACGATATTAATAACTTGGATCCAAATACTGTCAAAAATTTTTTTTAGAGTACTTGTTTAAAATTGGTTAAAACTTTATTTTGGTGCCTAAACTATTATACGAACCCCCTAATTTGGTCTCTAAACTCAAAAAATTTTTGATTTGGTCTCTACTGTTTACTATTTTTATCCCAATTTGATCATTTCGTTAAAAATCTGGTGATGTGGCATGTTACTTCACTGTTACAAAACGACATGTCAAATATTAATACACGTGGAAGACAATATGACAAAAAAAATGATGATATGGAAAAATAATAATATAAAAAAATTAAATAAAACTTAAAAAATTCTTCTTCTTCTTCTTTTTCTTTTTCCTTCTCTTTCCCTTTCCCTTTGGAACCCAGCTTTTCCCCTTTTCTTTCCCCTTGGAACCCAGTTACTGGGTTCCTTCGAACCCAACATGCCTGGGTTCGATGGAACCTAGGTGCGAGTTCCTTCGAACCCAGGCGTTGGGTTCGGTAGCACCCAATG